GGTGGAAAAGCTACAAGGGACTGCGATGAACTCGGAAGAACACGAAGGAATATGGAAACCCTAAGTGCGGATCTGAGAAGTGAAAAGAAGAGAACTTACAGTCACGGGTCTTCTACGGAGGTCGTCGCCGTTCTCTGGATCGGTTCAGGTTGATGCAACAACCAACGTTGACGGAGACAAAGGTGAAGCGCGTTGGTGGCGAAGCTCGAGCAGCAGGGGGTGCGCGAGAGGAAGAAGACGGAGCGAAAGAGGAGAATGAGGAAGGCCGAGGCGTGCCTATTTATGAGGAAAAGATGTGAATAGGCAGGCGCGAAAATCAAGGAGAGCCAAATAATGGTTATCTAGCTACACAGACGCCTCGATTCTCAAGAAGCATTTGAAGATAAAAGATCTGTTGGGAGATGACGTCATGAAAGTTTTTTGCGTTTTCAAGAGATGACGTCACGGCGGGTTACAAAACCTTCAGCGAAGATAAGAAGATGGATTTTTGTCTAAATATTGAAGATTGATAAAGAATGAAATTCAAAGTCAACTTGGGGCCTAATGTTGGGGATATTACTATCAGTCATGACCCGCCTAGGAGGGGCTGGGTCAGTCCCAATGGCGGGTTACGCAAGAAACCCAGTAAACATTCAAGACGATAGTTTATTAAACATTATAGAAGGCCCAAGGGCCTGGAGGCGGCTTAAGGCCCGATATTGTAAACCGCCGTAAGTAAGGAAAGACTTGTAAAGAAAGGCAAGTAAAGTAAGTCACCGAGCCAGACACGATTATGAGCCAGCCGGGACTCTGTAGGCCACCAGGTGTCAACCCATGTATATAAGGGGACGACCCGGTGGCGGCTTAGGGCAAGAAACAACAAATCGATAACCAAGCCGGCGAGTTGAGCCTCTTGGTGATCGAAACCCCAGCAATACCAATCCCAACTAGACATAGGCTTTTACCTTCATCTTAAGGGGCTGAACTAGTATAAAACCCTCTCGTGTCCTTTGTCCCGATTAACCCCTTTAAGCTTCCTAGTGCGATGGCCCTAGGACTAAGTCCTTGCTCTAGGACATCTACCATGACAATTCCACGACAAAGGAAGTGCCTCTTTTATTACGTGCAAAATAATTATTCCTCCACCTGACAGCGGGGACCCACTAGACGGGCCACCGTATTTCGCGAAAAAACATTTCCCCTTGACTGCTGGGACCCACCAGCTACATCTTCGCACGCAAGGAAGTGCCTGATAGTTGGGACCCACCTGGTCGAAGCGTACATACCGTTGTCATTCTGGTCGCGAACGTGTACGTACATATATGCTGGTGGATATTGAGGCGCGCACGTGTCGTAGTAGAGGCGCATACGTGTCATAGTAGAGGCGCGCACGTAGCATGTACACGTACGTACAATGGCCAGGGTGCAAGAAAGAAAATACGGCCACGTATGTGTACATACGGGCGGGGTCTCGAACGCCTACTCACGCATACGTACAGCCAGGGCTCGTGTACATGGCTGGGTCAGAATGGAGAAACAACGTCGTCGTTGTGTTCATGGGGAGGCAACGGAATGCGTCGTGTTCATGGGGAGGCAACGGAATGCGCCGTGTTCATCGGGAGGCAACGTAATGCGTGGGAGCCAACCGGCTGGGTCGGAACGGAATGCGTGGTCGTGTTCATCGGGAGGGCTTGGACGAAACAAGCGATGGAAACGAGGCCCGGTGTACCGCACAACGAAGGAACGGACCTCCTACGTCGGAACGGGGTCCTGTTGATCGGGAGGGGTCTGGCATACCGCAAAACGGAGGAAACGGACCTCCTACGGTTGAAACGGGGGTCCTGATCGGGAGGGGTGTGGCGTACCGCAAAACGGATGAAACAGACCTCCTACGGTCGAAACGGGGGTCCTGTTGATCGGGAGGGGTGTGGTGTACCGCAAAACGGATGAAACGGGCCTCCTACGGTCGAAACGGGGGTCCTATTCATCGGGAGGGGTGTGGCGTACCACAAAACAGGACTCCACGGGATATTGTTCATCTCCACCGTCAACCTCCTCCAGCCTCCACAGGCTACCGTCGACCTCCTCCAGCCTCCACGGGCTCCTGTTCATCCAGCCTCCACCGCGCGCTACTCCACCGGTTACTGTTCAACCACCCCTCCACGGGCACCCCTCCATCGTCTACTGTTCATCCAGCCCTCCACACCACGGGGTCCTGTTCAACCACCCCTCCATGGGCGCCCCTCCATCGTCTACTGTTCATCCAGCCCTCCACCACACCACGGGGTCATGTTCATCCAGAGAAAACGCCACCGCTCACTGTTCATCTAAACCACCCCGCAACGCTCAGTGTTCATCCCAGAGGCAACATCGATCAGCTTTAGTTAGCAGCAATAGCGAAGGAATCGCTCGATCGGGTTCAGTTAACAGCCATCGATCGATCGCTTGGGTTCAGTAACGCGTAGCCTGCAGTGCAATCGCTCGGGTTTAGTTAGAGCCCAACGCCTCGCTCGGGTTCAGTTAGAGCCAACGCCTCACATACACGCGCGTACGTGTACGAGAGAAACGCGCATCGCTCGGCCCCCGACCTCCCACCGTAACCGGGAACTTCCCGAAATTTTCCTCCCCTCGCTTCTACCGCGGTTTTTTCCGTCATGGACGATCCAAAGAATGTCATGCAGCTGCGTCTCCGGCCCGCCCAGGACGAAAATCCCATTTTATGTCATGATTTTTTGTCATAGAAGTAGGAGCCCACCACATCTATGATGATACCGGGTTTTGTCACAATTATTGTCATAGAAGTGTCATATGTATGACAGAAAAAAATTTCGTTCGGCCCAAAATGTCACAGATGTGTCTTTTTTTGTAGTGCTGGTGCTCTCACTCAAATTAATGGCTTCCTTTAGTGCCCGTTTGTCACCTCATAATGTTGAGATGTTTCCATAAGCCCACTACAAGCTTATTCTTTTCGTTGTTGGTTTTCCAACAACTCCGTATAATCTTCTTGGGAGGGTGCTTTCCAAACTCATTTGTGGTAGAAGCTGGCATTTTCTTCTCTGGTCTTTTCATTCCACTCTTTTGTTCCGAAGACATTGTGATGTTTCTCTCTTTACCCGTCACCTCGTTGTGTTAAAATCATTTTCTTTTCCTTGTTTATCTGTTTAGCAGGAGTGTTGTGTCCTCTGCTCAAGTTCTTTTCATCTTATCAAGTCTTGTATCTCTTTTCAACTGGAGTGTTGTTCGAATTTGTTCTTCCTTGTTCCTTGTTATCTCGTTTCAACCAGAGTGGTTTCAATTCCTTCTTGTCCATTGTGCTCGTCATTCATAGCCTTGCAGCCTCCAAGGTTCACATGGTGTTCCTTCTTTCTCTTTTCTACCGGAGTGCTTTCGTTTTCGGTCAACTATGTTTTGTTCTTCTTTCATGTTTTCAACCTCTCAAGGTTTGTTGGTCTCACTCGTTTGTCAAAGAATCAACTTAGTTTTACCTCTCCTCTTCCTTTTCTGTTTCCCTCTGATGCCATCCTAGATCTCGGGACGAGATCCTCTTGTAGTGGTGGAGTGTTGTAACGCCCCAAGACCGGAGCTTCAGATGCCTTCCATGTATTCTGAGTTTCATCGGGTGTTGTGTTTTGTCTGTTGCATTCATCTTTGCATCTTGTGCATTGCATCATGTCATCATGCCATCATGGCATTTTTTAAACTCAACTAAATAAATTGCATGGATCTTCGGTCCATTTAAACCTAGGGAATTCATATGGTGATTCTCTTTATAACATATCCTCCCAATATTAGGGAGCCATAATAAATACTCCATTCTTTTGGAATTAACCATAACACACGTGCAAAAATAACCCCATGCCTTTTCTGCTTCGAGTTGATCCCCAAACCTTGCCGACAATTCCTTCTCCTTTTATTGAGGCTCCTCCGTAAATCTTAACATTTTTGGTCACTTCTAATTCCTAGTCCTTGTTCAAACCATTAGATTAAATTCAAATGAGTTTGAATTACATCTTTCAATCATGCCTCTCCTATTTTTCGTGGACCGTGCACATTTTTACGAGTCCATGAAAATTATCCCCATGCCCAGATTCCACCCCTACCTTCTCTTTCTTTTCTTTCTCTTTCTCTGTTTTTGTTTTAAATGGAAAAAGTTTGTAGAGAGAGAGAACCCAGCCTTGCAGCCCAGCCGGCCTTTTGGGCCTAACCAACCAGTGCCGGCCCACCTAACCCTTCTAACCCTAGCCTGCAGCCAGCGCCCCATCTCTCTTCCTCCCCTCGTTCTATCGACCGCCGCCACACACACGCCCGCACGCATCGAGCCGAGGGAGAGGAGCTCCTTCGCCCGATCCCCATCTCCCTCCATCGAGCGTCGCTGCCCAATGCCCAGTCTCCCTCGACCTCTCCTTCTTCCCCCCATGCGCCTCCCTATCCTGCAAGGCCGCCCCTCGCCCAGTCTCTTCCCGCGCGCCAAGCCCGACCCTCATGGCTCGTCTCCAGTCACGCCGCCGGTTCCTTGGTCGTCGTCGGAGGTCGTCCATGGCAGCCGCTGCCTCGGCTTCTTCTCCGTGCTGCTACCTCCAGCACCGCCTTGCAGCTCCCTCCCGCGTGCAAGCCCCTCCTCTGCCATGGCCTCAAGCTCGCCAGGCCGCTGCTCCCTCATCCCGCCACCGGCCAGGTTGGATGGCCACCTGCCGGATCCGCAAGTCCCATGGCCGCCCTCTTCATCTCCGGCGGATCTCGCACCGCAGCAAGCCCCTGCCCCGCCTCTGCCTCGTTCGAACAGGGAGGAGGATGCACCTCTGCAAGTCCCGCTCGGAACCAGCCTCCTGCACCGCGCCAAGTCCCCTACTCTAGCACCCTGCGCCTCCCCATGCCAGAGCAGCTCCATCTCTGCCTCATCAATCGCCGGTTGCACCAGGCGCCAGGTCCCATGTTTGTCCTCTGCCGCAGCTCCAAGTACTCATCACCGACAAGATCCCCGCGAGACTCGATGTCCACCAAGTCCAAAAAACAAGACTGTAACCAGGACCTTTGTTCTGCTCCGTTTTGGATCGCCAAGTACACCGTGCCGATGCCTAGTACGAATACATAACCGGAATGCGACAAGTATCCCGACAACGTGTACATCTACACTGCCAAGACCAGACCGACAAGTACCCCGACAACTTGTGTACCACTACCATTGCCGAAGACCCGTGTAACGGAACCGTCAAGTTCGACTACCTTCGTGTGTACCACTACTTCCACAATGATATGAGTACAACTACCATCGACATGTACGACTACTATGTAAACGTGTACCCGACGACCCCGGAGACCTATGTTGTGCCAAGTACGCCCTCATTGACCCGAACATCTACGAAAACTCGTGCAACGATAAACATGTACCACTACCGTCGTCGTGGACCCGGCAAGTTCGCGAATACAACTACTTCCTCTACGACCCGCGAGAACCGCTACTTTCACTATAGTCGCGAGAATAAGTACTTCCTCTACAAACTCGAACCGCTCTGAGAATGTTCCCTTGGAAGGTATAACCGCCGGAACGACGCCCGTGGACAGTATGCATGTGATGTCTTGTATGAGATGCACCCTATGTTTGCACCGTGTCCGAGTTGTCGCTTGCTCGGTCCTCCTCATTTGCCACCGACACATGGGACATCCGGTAACCGGAATCACCCCACCATCCTTGCATGACACGCTCCCGTCATGCTTTCTTTTGCACCGGCATCTCAATTGAGTTATCGGAACCGATATGTTGTTGTGGCATCATTTTCAGATTCGTTGACATGGCCCCTTTTCCTTCCGCCATGTTGACAAATGCTTCATATCATGTTCATATCAACTTTTTCATAGAATTGCATAAAAATTGCAGGGGTCATCCGCATCGTGATAACAACATTTAAAATTCTATAATTGTTGTTTGCATCAATTTGCTAAATATGCATATGTGGATTTTCCGGAATTATTGTTTGATGTTCCGGCCTCATTTAAACTTGCCTAGACAGTTAATTTAATTATGTTTCACCTCTTGCCATGTTAACCAACCTTTCATATTGTTGGGTACCTAAACGAGAGTGAACTAAATAATTGATGTGGTGTTTCGTCAATATATATCTCGTTGCATATTGAGCTCCATTTAAGTTGTAGTATTGTTTGTTGCACCTTGCCATGTCATGCCTCTTTAAACCGGACATGCATCATTCTTGGTTGTGCATCATGCCATGGTTATGTGATGTTTGTTTACTATGTTGCTTGCTTCTTTCCGGGTTGCTTCTCTCGTTAGCTTCGGTTTCGTTCTGGAGTTGTGAGGATTCGTTCGACTATGTCTGTTTGTATTCTTCATGGACTCGTTCTTCTTCCTTGCGGATCTCAGGCAAGATGACCATACCCTCGAAATCACTTCTATCTTTGCTTGATAGTTGTTCGTTCTATCGCTATGTCGCGCTACCTACCACTTGTTATATCATGCCTCTCATATTACCATGTCAAGCCTCTAACCCACCTTCCTAGCAAACCGTTGTTTGGCTAAGTTGCCGCTTTTGCTCAACCCCTCTTATAGCGCTGCTAGTTGCTAGTTGCAGGTGAAGTTGAAGTTTGTTCCATGTTGGAACATGGTTATGTTGGGATATCACAATATCTCTTATTTAATTAATGCATCTATATACTTGGTAAAGGTGGAAGGCTTGGCCTTATGCCTGGTGTTTTGTTCCACTCTTGCCGCCCTAGTTTCTGTCATACCGGTGTTATGTTCCTTGATTTTGTGTTCCTTACGCGGTTGGGTGTTATGGGAACCCCTTGACAGTTCGCTTTGAATAAAAATCCTCCAGCAAGGCCCAATCTTGGTTTTACATTTTCCTAACAACCTAAGCCTTTTTCCCTTGGGTTTATGGAGCCCGAGGGTCATCGTTATTTTAACCCCCCGGGCCAGTGCTCCTCTGAGTGTTGGTCCAACCTGTCAGTCGCCGGTGGCCATCAGGGGCAACTCTGGGCTGGCCTACGGGAAGCTTGGACAATCCAATGTGCCCTGAGAACGAGATATGTGCAGCTCCTATAGGGATTTGTCGGCACATCCGGGCGGCTTTGCTGGTCTTGTTTTACCATTGTCGAAATGTCTTGTAACCGGGATTCCGAGTCTGATCGGGTCTTCCTGGGAGAAGGAATATCCTTCGTTGACCGTGAGAGCTTGTGATGGGCTAAGTTGGGACACCCCTGCAGGGTATAAACTTTCGAGAGCCGTGCCCACGGTTATGTGGCAGATGGGAATTTGTTAATATCCGGTTGTAGAGAACTTGACACTTGACTTAATTAAAATAAATCAACCGCGTGTGTAGCCGTGATGGTCTCTTTCCGTCGGAGTCCGGGAAGTGAACACGGTTCTTGTGTTATGGTTGTGTGTAAGTAGTTTTAGGATCACTTCTAGCTTCACGACCGTTGTGTTGCTTCTCTTCTCGCTCTTATTTGCGTATGTTAGCCTTTTGCTTATGCTTGCTGCAGCTCCACCTCATTACCCTATCCTACCCATAAGCTTAAATAGTCTTGATCTCGTGGGTGTGAGATTGTTGAGTCCTCATGGCTCATGGATACTTCCAAACAGTTGCAGGTTACGATGATACCAGTGTAGGTGACGCTACCGAGCTCAAGTGGGAGCTCAATGAAGATCTTGGTCGTTCTTATGTGTCTTTTTCGTTTGATCAGTAGTCGAGCCCAGTTGGGACGATCAGGGATCTAGCATTTGGGGTTGTCTTCTTTTATTTTGGTTCCATAGTCGGACCTTGATAGTATTCTGGATGATGTATGTTTAACTTGTATTTGTGTGAAGTGGCGATTGTAAGCCAACTCTGTATCCCATTCTTATTCAGTACATCGGATTGTGTGAAGATTACCCCACTTGCAACTAAACCACCATGCGGTTATGCCTCTAAGTCGTGCCTCGACACGTGGGAGATATAGCCGCACAGTGGGTGTTACAACCTTGTTGGTGGCTTTAGCCATGAGGCACTTGGCAGTGATGTTCTCATTGGGTGAGTCGAAGAGAGACACCCGTGGAGTTGTCGCAATGGCAACGGAGGCCATGGCAACCGGCTCACCGTCTTCATCATCATCATCCTCATTGTACCCTTCTTGTGCCACCAACCCCTTGGGAGGAGTCTTCTTGGTGAAGTTGCTCTTGTTAGGGAAGGACTTGGCCTTGTCTTTTCGGATGAGCTTGCCACCATTGTCTTCCCTCTTCTCATATGGGCACTCCGCAACAAAGTGACTCACATTTCCACAATTATAGCAAGTCCTCACTCGTTGCTTGCCCTTCGCACCACTTGTGTTGTTCTTGTTGAAGTTGGGCCTCGTGTTCTTCTTGCTCCAAAATTGCCTTCAAGCCAGAGCCATGTGCTCATGATAAGCATATTTTGTATCTTCGGGATTGCTCTCCTCTTCTTCATCTTCATCCTCTTCTTCCATGCTAACCTTGGCCTTCAAGGCAAGTTTGGGATTCTTTGCTCTTTGAGAATGCAACACCGCGTTGTCGGCTGTCTTGTCGAAGATCCTCATTGCCACAGACTCATGCAACACTTCACTTGAGGACAAGGTGTGGAAGTCCGACCTTTGACGGATGACGGAGGACATGGCCTTGTGCTAAGGCATCATGGCCTTGAGGAACTTGCACTTGATCCAATTGTCATCCGTATCCTTGCTCCCATCATCTCGGAGTGAGACCACGAGAGTGGTTAATCTCCGGTAAAGCTCACGAGGTTCTTCATCTTCATTCATTGCAAACTCATCAGCTTCATCTTGCACCACTTCATAGTTGGAGCGTTGAATGCGTGCGCTTCACTTGTAAAGTGAAACAACATGCTGCCATGCTTCCTTTGCCACAGTGAAGGGTCGGAGATGTGCAATATCTTCGGATGGAATTGCATCTTGGATGATGAAGAGAGCATTCTCATTGAATTGATGATCCGCGACTTCTCTAGGGGTGAATTTGCTTGGGTCATGCGGATAGAAACCTTGTTCAATGATTCTCCAAAGATTAGTATTAACATGATTTAAATGACATTTAAAGCAATAGAGCCAAGCATCAAAATCCTCATTTTTCACAATCTTAGAAGGAGAACTGGCATGATTTAAATGAGTGGAGGGAATCGGTCCTCCATAAGTAAGTGGAGGTTCCACATTGGCAAAGATGCCACTACCATTTCTACCACTAGATAAAGGAACTTTGTCACTAGTAGCTCCCCCCTTGCCGGAGTTAGCATCTGTCACCTTGTTAGCGGGATCACCCACTTCCATTGGTGCGGTTGAAAGTTTAAGGCCTTCTAAGAATTTGTTAAACATGCTTTCAACATTGGTCATCATGGAGGTTTTCAATGTGTTCAAGGCCACATTGAACTCCTCATGAGAGACCGTGGTTCCCCCATCAGCCGTAGACGAGAACGGATTCACACCAGAGTGCTCCTCCCCACCGTCTACGGTGTCAACCATACTCTTCGGATGGCAAAGTCCTTAATAAAGATACGAGGCTCTGATACCAATTGAAAGAATCAATATAGTTGACTGAGGGGGGGGGGGTGAATAGGCAACTAACAATTTTTAGCTTTACTTCACCAATTTAAACTTTGCATTAAAGTAGGTTGTCTAGATATGCGACTAGGTGGGCAACCTATATGATGCAAAAACAACAATCACGCGAGCAAGCAAGGAATACAACACAATAAGAGCTTGCACAAGTAAAGGTGAGAGATAACCAATAGTGGAGCCGGTAGAGACGAGGATGTGTTACCGAAGTTCTTTCCCTTCGAGGGGAAGCACGTCTCCGTTGGAGCGGTGTGGAGGCACAATGCTCCCCGAGAAGCCACTAGGGCCACCGTATTCTCCTCACACCCTCACACAATGTGACATGCCGTGATTCCACTTTGGTGCCTTTGAAGGCGGCGACCAAACCTTTACAAACAAGGTTGGGGCTATCTCCACAACTCAATTGGAGGCTCCCAATGATACCACAGAGCTTCACCACAATGGAATATGGCTCCAAGGTGACCTCAACCGTCTAGGGTGCTCAAACACCCAAGAGTAACAAGATCCACAAGGGATTAGTGGGGAAATCAAATTTCTCTTGGTGGAAGTGTAGATCCGGGCCTTCGCAACCAATCCCAAAGAATCAACAAGTTTGATTGGATAGGGAGAGAGATCGGGCGAAAATGAGCTTTGGAGCAACAATGGAGCTTGGGGGAAAAGAGGTGAGTCAACTTAGAGAAGAAGACCTCCTTTTATAGGGGGAAACAATCCAACCGTTACCCCCATTCAGCCCCGCACAGAGCGGTACTATCGCTGGGGGCAGCGGTACTACTGTTGGGGTCAACGGTACTACCGCTCCCCCTCACGGTACTGCCATGCAGACTGAGGAAGGCCAGAGGTGGAGCAGGATCTGGACCCAGGGCGGTACTAGCTGCGGTGGTAGAGACGGTACTACCGCTTACGAGCGGTACTACCGCCTCTATTGTCGCTGCCAGTGCCGCAAAACCCGACACGAGAGGCGACCCCCTCGAGTCGAGGCGGTAGGATCTTATAACAGCAACAGTACTACGACTGAGAGCCCCAGGCGGTACTATCGCTGTGGAGCAGTATTGCCGCTTGTGGCTCTTGAGCCGTACTACCGCTGGGACCAAATTTTACATCGGAAGCAACGAGGGATCTTCCATCGAAGCGGGAAGGCTTAGTGGGTGCAAAGGGGATGTGTATGTGTTGATTCCACCCTAGCCTTTCCAATGTGGATCCCCTCTTGATAGTATGGTGACTCCTATGAAACAAGTCCACCAA